TCTCCTCAGCAACCAGCGACCACCACCCATCCTTGCAGCGCCTCACAGCTCTCCGAATCTCCGAGCGAAGGCTGCGGTAAGCCTCCTCATGACCCCACGCACACACAAAGACAGCCTGTTGGGGCAAGTGCTGTTAGCGAGCACCTATGAAGGCCGGCACGGCACACGAGGTGGGTGGGTGGCCAGCACCACGCCCGGCCGCCTTTTTCTCCCCAGTGGCAATGTTCACTACACACCGCACCAGGTACTCATTTGAGGCAGCCTCGACCTAGGGGAAGAGGCCTGGGGCCGGTTCAGATAATCGTCACTGGTGTTGGCCGTGAGCAGAAATCGAATTCGGGGTCGGCGGGTTCATAGTGCAGCGCGCTAACCGCTACACTACCGCTCCCCCATATACACAAAAGACACACAACACGCAGTAAACCACACACACCCTTACGCACACGCACACACGCATAATCGAGTCCGCACAACTCGGTGACCAATGCATTTCGCATTGTTCTCTGGGTCTCACGACACTACACAATACGGTATTCGTATTGTGCTACACGATATGCGAGGGGTTATTTGACCGTACTTCACTACGCGGCCTAGTGCGCGCTCATCCAACAGTGGATTGACAAGGAGTGCTACACGTGCGTGCTCCATGTGCGCTGTATAGTGTGATACACGTTGTATACCTTTAAAAGGAGGGAGGCTCAGGTATCTCCAATTTGGACGGGCGGTGGGGGGCGGATGAGACTTTGTCAAGGTGCAGCCGTGATGGCGGAAGGGCCTCCACTTAACCCATTCACGTTCCGAGACGTCCTGCAAGTTGCAGGCTGTGGGTGTGTCCCGTCCACCGCCGAATCTTGGGACGGCGCAAGCGGCTCGGCGTTCATATCATTTTAGAGAGGCGTCGTAAGTAGCAGCGCCGCCATTTTTAAAGACAACGTTGCTCACCGCAGAGAACCGTAGCGACACGACCGCCGCAACTCTACGATAGCCGGCGCCAAAAACTTTGCCACAAGCGCTCCCCCCGTGGCCTTGTGGGAGCCTCGGAAGCGGTTCCGCTCCGATGACGCACGTGCGCGTGCACATCACCGGCGTACACGTCGCCGGCAACGGAACCGCAAGCTGACGGGAGCACGCGTACGTCATCGCAACGGGAAGGGCTTAAGGGGAACTCGAGAGAGAGTGCCGCCCAGAGGGTACATATGGCCTCCTCTTCCAGGCTGCCCGAGCATCGTCAAAACTGTGGGCACGCTCGCGAAAGGGCACCGCGCACGCCACGCGCTCAAGCGATTTCCTTTCCTCGCCGAACACTCGGCCAAGCGTCCATCATCGCAAAAGGCCCCCCCCCCCCCCCCCCGAGGGACCCCACGCATCCGATATCAGATTCTCGGTAAAAAACAAGTCCGATGTAAACTCTTATATACGCTTATATACACATTATACGCGTAAAAGCGGGAAGGGGGGAGGAGGTGGGGGGGGAAGGGGCGAACTAATGGGAAAAATACAAGTGCCCCCCCCCCCAAACCAATCTCACTCTGACCCCCAGCGATTCATTTTCTCTTAAAATATATTCTTCAAAAAAAGGGATGTGTGCAGAACGAGACAGCATTTTCATCACTTTCTCACGTGGAAGGTTTAACGATGGCTTAAGTATTCTTTTGTTTTATTCACCCCTTCGCAAATATCTACTTATTTATATATCAATAAAGTGCAAGTAGCCGACGGCATGGAGCACGGCCCCTTGACCAGCCGCCGCCGCCGCCACCACCACCAACTCCACCACCACCAACTTCACCACAACCACCAGCACCTTCACCACAACCACCAGTACCTTCACCACAACCACCGTCACCATCTACACCACCACCACCATCACCATTGCCATCTCACCACCATATCCATCACCACCATCTCCACCAGCACACAATTCACCACCACTGCCGCCGCACATCACCACTTCTGCCTCCACAACCACCACTTCAAGCAACAGCCACAACCACCACATCAGACACAACCACTTTCCTCTGCCACCACCACCACCTCCGGACAACAACCACCACCACCACCACAACTCGGGGGAACAGTTAAGAGCCCCCACAGGGCTGCGCCACCCTTCCGCCGTCATCTTCATGACTACACGAGTGCTAAACCGTGGGCTACAGACTCTTTACCACACCCGAGGTCAATTATAATTCACAACAGCAGCATCGTCAGCTCACATCGTGACAATTGGAGACTGCGATTCAGTGTGGGGAGTGTCGCAGATATCCATCGCTGTACCCTACTTCCATGCTCCCCCGCCTTCACCAGCTCGCACAAACCGGCGTGGTGAGGGGTGGTGAAATAACCGCCCCCCCCCGACCACCCCGAGACCCGCACGGCGTTGGGAGTCCCCTCATTCAGCAGTGGATCAACGAGAGGGCTGCACGCGCGTTAAATGCAAATACGACGACTCGTTATTCAAAAACGCCCATCAACGCGCATCGCTACCCGTTTCAATGTGCTGCCCCAGTAGCAGCTGTCTCCCACCCCCCCCCCGCCACACACGAATCCCAGGTCTGCCGCTTTTACGCTCCTCGGGATACGTAACGGAAGCGCCCACTCGGACGTGCGTACTCCACCGCACGTGGTACGCGCGTGTGGTGCACACGCGCGTACCACGTGCGTACTCCACCGCACGTGGTACGTGCGTGTTGTGCACACGCGTACCACGTGCGTACTCCACCGCACGTGGTACGCGCGTGTGGTGCACACGCGTACCACGTGCGTACTCCACCGCACGTGGTACGCGCGTGTGGTGCACACGCGTACCACGTGCGTACTCCACCGCACGTGGTGCACACGCTAGTGGTACGCGCACGTGGTACACGCTCGCTCGTGCTCTCCAGCAGTCAAGGGCATCCAGGGCGTGGGGTTTGGATGACCAAACTTTCACGTGCGCACACCTGAATGTGCACGCGCGTGTACACCTGAATGTGCACGCGTGTGCACGCGCGCACACACACGGTCGGGTGTGTCCGCGTCGGTGACACATTCAACATCTCTGCAGCCAGCAGACACGCGCACGCACCCAAATCGTCCACTATATACCTCCTCTCGGTTACGGCCGTGGCCACAACTGGTCGCGTGCCACCCACGCCAGTCTAGCAGCTGTGCGGGAAAACGTTCGGTGAGAAATTACGCACCTGGTCGCGAAACTGTGCTTACCCGTGCCGAGTCGATCGAGGAAACAGTCATGTGGTCGTGCGCCTCGATTGGACATCAAATACATGTTGACACTGAGGAGGAACTCAGGGCGGCAGGTGCCACTACGCGATGCAGGGAGGTGTCACTGTGTTATACCAGGGAGGTGTCACTGTGTTATACCAGGGAGGTGTCACTGTGTTATACCAGGGAGGTGTCACTGTGTTATACCAGGGAGGTGTCACTGTGTTATACCAGGGAGGTGTCACTGTGTTATACCAGGGAGGTGTCACTGTGTTATACCAGGGAGGTGTCACTGTGTTATACCAGGGAGGTGTCACTGTGTTATACCAGGGAGGTGTCACTGTGTTATACCAGGGAGGTGTCACTGTGTTATACCAGGGAGGTGTCACTGTGTTATACCGGGGAGGTGTCACTGTGTTATACCGGGGAGGTGTCACTGTGTTATACCAGGGAGGTGTCACTGTGTTATACCAGGGAGGTGTCACTGTTATACCAGGGAGGTGTCACTGTGTTATACCAGGGAGGTGTCACTGTGTTATACCAGGGAGGTGTGACTGTGTTATACCAGGGAGGTGTCACTGTGTTATACCAGGGAGGTGTCACTGTGTTATACCAGGGAGGTGTCACTGTGTTATACCAGGGAGGTGTCACTGTGTTATACCAGGGAGGTGTCACTGTGTTATACCAGGGAGGTGTCACTGTGTTATACCAGGGAGGTGTCACTGTGTTATACCAGGGAGGTGTCACTGTGTTATACCAGGGAGGTGTCACTGTGTTATACCGGGGAGGTGTCACTGTGTTATACCAGGGAGGTAGGTGGTACGGGTGGCCCCGCAGGGTTTTGACGGAGCGTGCCCACGGACATCACTGCTGTCCCAGCACACGAGGGCACGAGCACACCTTCGCCACAACTCACCGGTTGCCAGACTCACCAGCGCGTACCACACTCACCAGTCCCACATACACTCGCTACCACCGGTGCCACGGTGCCCACCACGTGCCACAGTCGCCACCACGTTGCCATCCACCACCACCACCACGAGAAGCCACGGCTCCCCACCACCACCGGTGCCACGCTACGGGAGAAGACGCGGTAAGGCAAGACGCCGAGACAGCCGCCTGTGCCGGCAAACACAGCGGTGTGCGCGTTCTCGTATAAACGTCAACGATTGCTTTAAATTACTCGCAAGCCTGTCCCGCCAACGGTCGTGGTCTCGACAAAAACGCGGGACACGCTCCGTGCGTGTGTGTGTATATTAAAAAAAATAAAACTTTACTTCACTCCCAAAAAAAAATAACCCCTCGGCAAATCGCATCGGTGCTGGCGAGGAAACCCCCCCCCCCCGCGGAGGCGATGTCACGGGGAACGACGAAGAACACTAGCCGGGCTTCGCTCCGCCGTGCCGACGCCTCGTCGCGGTGAGGGGAGAGGTTTGGGGGAACGCCGCGGCCGGCACGGACCCGGTGTGCACCGCATCGTGACTCATCTCGCAAAATAAAAAAAATCAGTCAATACCTCCTTCGCCTCGAAACCCATCCAACCCCGGCGGCGGAGCTGTCACTTGGTCGGTGTACGGCCCAAGGTGGCTTTACATGGCCAATCGGCAGCGAGTTGTGCGACAACCATCGGGAACGAGTGGGGGTTACCAAATTACGGTGGCTAAGAGATGTTAACTACACCGCCCGGTATACAGGAGGTCGTGGGTTTGATCCCGACCCTGACGCCTGCAGTATACTTGGAGTTTGTGCGTCTCTCTCCCCGTGGTCTGTGTATTTTTTTCCGGATCCTCCAGTTTTTTTCCTGAACATTTTAAATCAACGTGCGTTCAGAGTACTTGGCTGCTATAAATTCCCAAGTGGTGACAGGCCACCTCTCTGAGCTATCATTTGTGGCCAGGTCGCTTCTGAAAAAGAGCTACATAGCTAATTGGGTCACCCCACCAATTTCATAAAGCTGCACCCTCCAACATTACAATTAACGGTCATGTAATCAGTCCGGCACAAGAAGTCACAAATCTCGGGGTCATCATTGTCCTTCAAGGCTCATATTAAAAAGATCACAAAGACTTAATTTTTCCATCTGGCGAAATATCTCCCATAACCGATCCCTACTCTCTACCTGGTCCATCTCATCTCGCATAGACTACTGTGGATGTATTACTTACTCCCCGGCGTGGCTAAGAAGGTGCCAATCAATTTTCAGGATGTTCAAAATGCGATTTCTAGAGTGTTAACCAGAACGCCTCCTTTACATCGTATTACGCCCGTGTTTGCCTCCCTGCACTGGCTTACAGTTTCACAAAGAACGCAGTTTAAAACCCTATTGTTAATTTAACAAAGCAGTGAACCATCTTGCCCCAGCCTACATCACTGACATGCTGCACCCATGTGTCCCCCCCTCAAGGTCCCTAAGATCTGGGCATGACGCAGATTTTCTCTCTGTATTCCCAGGGCGAGGCCTCGGTCTATGGGTAACAGAGATTTTCCCCGTTTAGCCTCCAGGCTATGGAACGCTCTTCCACGAGATATCAGATGGATCTCTTGAGTCCGTGGACATTTTTTTAAATGAGTCTTAAAACCAATTAATATACGCATCCACCTATTCATGTTTAAGTTAATTTATTAAATGGATTTAAAGAATTAATAATATATTTATTATTTCCCACCGAGTGCCTGCCGCTGCTGTGTTCTGTACAGCGCTTGCGATCCTTGATGAAAAGTGCAAAATAAGTGTAATTATTATTATTATTCATAATACAGGTTTTTTGGGTTAGATCGCAAAAATGTATAAATGTGTCGTTAAACCCGCCACCACTTTACTCTTTCCTCCCGCCTGCTCTGATGAGTCCGGGGTGTGCCTGATCCTGTCGATGCCCCTGGTAATGCCGTCCGGAACGTCAGGATGTTGCAATGCACGAAGTGAGGGAGGATGTGGAATAGAAAAATTTTACCTACGAAAAAATAACTACATTTTTTTTTTATTTTACCGGGTAAGGCCCACTGAGCTGTGTAGCTCATTTTCAGACGCGACCTGGCCACCACAAATGACAGCCCCTGCGAAGGGACTTATCACATGGAAATTTCTAGCGTCGAAATACTCCCGAAAGTGAAATGTTGATTCTAAATGAGGGGGGGAAAACAAAAAACCCGAGGACCTGGAGAAGAATCCACGCAACCACGGGGAGAACGCGCAAACTCCAAATTTCGAAGCGTCAGGGTCGGGCTCGAACCCACGACCTCCTGCATACCAGGCGAGGTATTTAACATCTCACCACAGTGGCATAATTGGCCTACGCTGCGACGCAAGTCTGACGCACCCCACCGCAAGCGCCCTTGCTGACCGTATGTGCAGTACCCGTCGATAACTGCCGTGTGGACAGAGACGAGAGGGGGGGGGGATATAAGAAATGTGCTTCATTGCGACGTCTGGATTGCAAGTCCAGTGTGCTGCCCATTACAAAAAGGCAGGATCTCTGCGGCTGTATGCTAATCAGTAATTACACTAGGATGTATTAAGGAGATGCTCACGTCACCGGCGGTTACAAAACCTGAGACAGAGCTCATCGCCAACTGAAACTGGAGCCACAGAACACCTTGACCCTTTTGCTGGTCGAGTGCACGCCACACCACAGCATACGCTCTTCACCGCACCACACACACCAACCCCAATGCACCACCCGCACCACACACGCCACCTAAACCATGCCACGTCGCACCGAGCTGGGACCGCGCTCACCGACGTCCGTCCCTAGCAGCCGGGGGGGGCGCCGGCCGCGCCATCGCGCGTCTCGCCCGGCATCGCGCGCCACCACCGCCCGTTGCGGCCTACGAGCCAGTGTTGGATCGGCCCTCGATGGAGACCTTGAGCTGGTGCGGGATGAACGCGGGGGGAGGGCGCGGCGAGGAGGAAGGGGAGGAGGGCGGCGCCGCGTCCGATGGGGCCGGCGCCGGCTCGCGAACGTCGGGCGCCGACCAGCGCCGCTTGCGCGACGGCCGTGCCGGAGGGCCCCCGCCGCCCCACCACTCGCAATCCCTCCCGGCGAGTCCCTCCCTTTCTCCTCCTCGGTCGTCCGCCGCGCCGGCGGCCGGCGAGGCGCCACCTTCCCTCCTCCACCACGTCCGACCGCCGGCGGCCGAGACCGCCCCTGTGGCCGGAGTGGGCGCGGCGCGGTTCCTGCCGCCGGCGTCCGGCGCGACCGGGCCGCCGCGCGTCCTCCACGCCGCCGACGGCTCCTCGGCGCCGCCGTCGCCGTGGCCCGACGGCTCGGAGCGCAGCGCCAGCGACACGCACACGTCGCCGACGCGCAGGCGTGAGCAGCGCAGCCCCGCGGCGCGTTCGGTGCGCTCCGGCTCGCACGACGCCCAGCCCCGGCCGAACACGAAGAAGGGGTGCTCCACGCTCACCTGCACCGTCACCTGCACCACGGAGACAAACAACGGGCGATTGAGGGCGTCCACTTCGCCCGGCTGGCAGAGGCCGCGACGGGCGTCACTCGACGGGTGTCACATGACGGGCGTCACTCGACAGGTGTCACTCGACGGGTGTCACATGACGGGCGTCACGCGACGGGTGTCACATGACGGGCGTCACTCGACAGGTGTCACTCGACGGGTGTCACATGACGGGCGTCAGGCGACGGGTGTCACATGACGGGCGTCACTCGACAGGTGTCACTCGACGGGTGTCACATGACGGGCGTCACGCGACGGGTGTCACATGACGGGCGTCACTCGACAGGTGTCACTCGACGGGTGTCACGCGGCGGGCGTCACGCGACGGGTGTCACATGACGGGCGTCACTCGACAGGTGTCACTCGACAGGTGTCACTCGACGGGTGTCACGCGACGGGTGTCACATGACGAGTGTCACATGACGGGCGTCACTCGACGAGTGTCACATGACGGGCGTCACTCGACGAGTGTCACATGACGGGTGTCACATGACGGGTGTCACGCGACGAGTGTCACATGACGGGTGTCACATGACAGGCGTCACTCGACGGGTGTCACATGACGGGTGTCACATGACGGGCGTCACTCGACGGGTGTCACATGACGGGCGACGCTGTGGGGCGTCTCGTCGGCACGCGAGCTGGGAACGAAACGCGACCCCCGATTCACAGTGGACGTTAAATACCCGGCCACGTCGGTTGAAGCAAACTGGGCTGTCCGTCGGTAAACTCACTTCTTGAGAACTGCTTTTGATATTGATTTTGAAGACGACCGTTTGAGTTATGGTCGAAACGTCGTGAGAATTTTTTATAGTTTTTATATATATTATTATTTTGTTGTTTCCCTTCAACGTGACTTTACCGAAAAAACTAAGAATATGTACTGCTTTTGATGTTTAGTTTGTTGTCCTTCCCCCAGCACCTCCAATCAGTACGGTTGGCTACGTACGGTGCGAAATAAGTTTAACATAGACACATACCGCGTCGTGGTCCACTTCTTGTCTTTACAAAGCACCAATTTAATCATTAATCCATATGTGAATAAAAATTTGTTGACTGAAATGATAGTATTTGAAATAAGCACAACCTGACTATTTTACAAAACAGAAGATAGGGTTATGAGGGTGGCCGAGCGAAGATGAGTCTTTGGACTCTTTAAATTGTTAAGTTATCATTATTTTTTTTATCTTATAGCATCGTCAACCCTAGAGATTAGCAACACAGCGCGACTAGCTGAGGACAGAGAGTGCAGAGAGGCGCTACACGTCTTGCAAATGAGACTGTCCTGGCCTCTTGAGTTCTCACCTTGCCAATCAAAATTAATTAAACTATTCACGAAAAAAACCCATCTTTTTTTTTATTTCACCAGGTAGGGGCCCACCGAGCTCAGAAGCGACCTGGCCACAAATGATAGCTCCACGAAGTGGCTCACCACCATCATCATCATCATCACGTGGAAATTTATAGCAGCCAGGGTCGGGATTGAACCCACGCCCCCGCCGAGAGAGTCAAAATCTTGCCGCTCCTCCGGATTGCGGACGGCACACGAAACCGACGGCGCATCACCTGCAGGCGCTGGGGCCCCACGGAGAAGTGCAGCAAGTTGCAGCGGGGCTGCGCGGCGGGCTGGATGGCCGCCAGCGTGCTCGAGTCGACGCGCAGCTCCCCGCTCGCCTCGGCGCTGCACACAAAGTCCTCCGTGCGCAGCTCTTCCACGCGCTTGAGCCCCCCGCCCGCGAGCGCGATCACCGAGCCACGCGTAAAGTGCGGGGGCAGCGGCGGCGTGGGCGCGGGCGATGGCGAGGTCGCGGGCAGCGGTGGCGCCTGACCCCCCGCGTGACCGTGGTGGCGCCGGTCGGGGCCGTGCCGGCGATCGAACGCCGAGTCGGGCCTCTGCGTCGTCGGCACCCCGGCCTGGTCGTGGGCGACGGAATCCAGGGCCGCCAGCAGCGGCTGGTGCTGCCCGACGCGGCCGTGCCCGTCCTGATACCCGCCCCCGAGCTCCCTGGTGGCGGCCGGCGCTCGGTCAGGCACGACGTGCAACGGTGGCCTTCCCGCCGAGGCCCCTGCCGGCCGCGTACGCGTGGGCAGCGTCGTGGTGCTGCTGCCCGCGGTGGCGGAGGCGCGGCCGCGGCGGCGTAGCGGGCGCCGCCGGTCCCGGTCCGCGCGCCGCTCCCGCGCCGCTCCCGCGCCGTCACCGTGGCGCCAGGGCGTGGCGCGAGAGGCCGCGGGGGCGGCGGCGCCAGCGCCGTCGGGGGAGGGGTGCGGAGGCCGGCGGGGCCTCATGGCGCCGTCCGGGTCCGGGGTCGGGGAGCGGCGAGTACCAGCGTCGAGCGCCTGCAGCACGGAGCAGCGCGGGTTGCGGCCCAGGATCTGAGCAGCGCAAACAACGAGCCGCCAAGTCAGCATCGACAAGTCGCTAGATGGCTTTGACGCCACACGCACACACACACAGGAGAGAGAGAGGTGTGCACTGCGTGTAAAAAATCTGGCAACCTTTTCCAGCCCACCAGCTCAAGCGGCCTCAACAGGCTGCAGTCAAACATTTGCGCAATGAAAAGTCACAAGACCTTCTAAAGCCATCGAATGCATCGCAAGACAACTGACCAAACTATCACGCAGAGTAAACCGATACGTGATCCCGCATGCAAACCTGGAACTGCTCCCACGTTTGCACAATGTCCACACGGCTCCTGCGCGGCGAGCACAGGCTGCCCAAGATTGGCACTCACCTGCAAGGTGAGCGGAGAGCGCTGCCCCCCAGCCGCCAGTTCCATGACCAACTCCGGCGAGCTCGCGTACCGCGCCGCGTCCCTCCACGCCGCCGCGCCGCCATTCGCTGGCCTCCCGGTCGAGCGGCGGCGGCTCACCGCCACCACCGCCGTGCCGCTCGCCGCCACCCACCGCCGTGCCGCTCGCCGCCACCACCGCCGTGCCGCTCACCGCCGTGCCGCTCACCGCCGTGCCGCTCGCTGCCACCAACGCCGTGCCGCTCACCGCCGTGCCGCTCACCGCCGGCCGCTCACCGCCACCACCGCCGTGCCGCTCACCGCCACCATGCCGCTCACCGCCGCCACCTCCGTGGCACTCACCGCCACCCGTCGCCCGCTCATTCATTCCCAGGCGGTCGCCGCCCACCGGCGGCGAAGGGTGCGACGAGAGACCCAAGCGGTACATGGCCTCCGAGTATTGCAGCGAGGCGGACACCGGCGGCGCCGCCACGCCCACCATGCCGGGCCCCGGCGACAACAGCGCCGGGTGGATGGGCATGGGGGGCATTCCCGGCGAGGGCATTCCGCGTGGTACACCGTATGCAGCTGCGGGTGAAGCCAGGAAAGAGAGCATGGCTTGGGGATTCCCATATGCCTGCCCCCCTCCATGCTGCTGCTGCTGTTGCTGTTGTTGCTGCTGCTGCAGCTGCTGATGCTGCTGATGCTGCTGCAGCTGCTGCTGCGAGCCGCCAAGTCCGGCCAGCATGGCGGAGTACGAGTCTAGCGAGCTTGTACGGGCCGTGACGAGGGAGGGGTGCAGGAAGGCCTGCGATTGGTACGCGGCGGTCGCGTAGGGCACGCCGCCAATGTACTGTATCGGCGGGTACTGCAACCCCGACGGGTACGAGACGGCGCCATGTCCCAGCGGCGAAGTGGAATAGACGGCCACCAGCGGCGCCGTCGCCGCCGCCACGTAGGTGCGGGCGGATGCCGCCCCTGGCGAGTAGTCGATGGGCGAGGGGGAGCAGCTGTAGAGGCCTGGCGGCGGATGCTTGCCGACGGAGGTGTCGCCGTAACCGTCGCCGGCGTTGGCCAGAAGCACCGGCGGCGAGTAGCCGGCGCGGCCCGACTGGCCCTGGCTCGCCGCGAGCGACTCCAGCCAAGAGAGGCCCTCGGCGGTGCGATCCGAGGACGGGTGGTCCAGCGAGGGGCGCTCGCAGGGCGAGGCGAGCATCGGCGGGCGGGGCGGCGCCGGTGGCGCCGGCGGCGGCGGCAAGCCGTGGGCGCCGCCATCGTGGGCGTCGGCGTTGTGCAGCAGCTCGCGCTTCTTGGGCGGAAGGCAGGACTCGCTGGCGCGATCTCCTCCCGACGACCTCATCTTGGCATCTTCTCAGCGCCAGCAGCACGACCGGCGCCGGGGTACAGGGGCGGCACTTGCTCTAGCTCCGCCGGTACACGTGTGTGACGCTGACGCCATACGGGAGAAAAGAAGGGCATACGGCCCCCGAACAATTGGAAATGTCAGGTGGAGGAACGGACAACAGGGCACGACCACAACAGCAAACTGCACGGCTGACGGTACAGCCTATAGCCGAACTCTCAAAGCGAAAAGGTGCGGAACTTCCTGAGCGAGTACTGGAGGAAGTGGATGTGAGACTTCGCAGCTGCTTGGAGGTGGAGCGACCGATTGATTGGGAGGCGTGAGAAGTGAGTGATCATTGGGAGGTGTGAGGTAGCGTGAGTGATGATGGGGGAGGGGGCGGGGGCTATGAGATTGAGACATAATTGGCAGGAAGGAGTAGGTGTGAGGAACGAGTGATGAAGGGAAGGTTTGCGGTGGGGTTTGTTGCTGGTGGTAATAATAATAATGGTGAGTGCATGGCACGGACTGAACACGGGCAGGGGGGGGGGACACTAGGGGAAGGGGGGGAAGAACGTGGGTAGAGGGGGAAACGGGGTGGGGAGGTAAGACGGGAAACCTGGGGGGAAGGGGAATACGCGGAGAGGGGGGGGCACGGAGAGGGGGCACGGAGAGGGGGGCACGGAGAGGGGGGGGCACGGAGAGGAGGGCACGGAGAGGGGGGGGCACGGAGAGGAGGGCACGGAGAGGGGGGGGGCACGGAGAGGGGGGGGCACGGAGAGGAGGGCACGGAGAGGGGGGGGCACGGAGAGGGGGGGGTACGGAGAGGGGGGGGCACGGAGAGGGGGGCACGGAGAGGGGGGGGCACGGAGAGGGGGGGGCACGGAGAGGGGGGGCACGGAGAGGGGGAGCACGGAGAGGGGGGGCACGGAGAGGGGGGGGCACGGAGAGGGGGGGTACGGAGAGGGGGGCACGGAGAGGGGGGCACGGAGAGGGGGGGCCACGGAGGGGGGGGCACGGAGGGGGGGCACGGAGGGGGGGCACGGAGAGGGGGGCCACGGAGGGGGGGCACGGAGAGGGGGGCACGGAGAGGGGGGGCCACGGAGGGGGGGGCACGGAGGGGGGGCACGGAGAGGGGGGGGCACGGAGAGGGGGGGGGGCACGGAGAGGGGGAGCACGGAGAGGGGGGCACGGAGAGGGGGGGGCACGGAGAGGGGGGGGGGTACGGAGAGGGGGGTACGGAGAGGGGGGCACGGAGAGGGGGGCACGGAGAGGGGGGCACGGAGAGGGGGGGCACGGAGAGAGGGGGGGCACGGAGAGGGGGGCACGGAGGGGACGACTGGGAGGGGGCCACATGAAGAGGAGAAACACAGCATGGGGATGGCAAACACCGGTGGGCGTGGGGGGCATAGGGAGGGGGGGCACTGGGAAAGGAGCCATCCATTGAGTCCGTACGCAAATGCGTAGCTTGCGTATGGGGGGGGGGGGGTGAAGCCTCGATAATAATTTGTCTACTTTGGCCTTCAAATGAGTTAGATAGTTCGGCGGGGGACTGTCTGTACTGGGGAGGGGGAACACAGGGAGGGGGAGACGGGGGAGAGGGGACATTGGGGAAGGGGGAGACGTGGGAGCGGGGACATTGGGGAAGGGGGGAACACGGTTCAAGGGGAACATGGGTCCCGTTCTCACCATCCGCTCCGTCTCCGTCTCCCGCGAAAAACGCGGGCCCAGCGAAGCGCGGTTGCAGGCGACCGCGTCGTGAGAACCGTGACGGGGTTGCAAACAACGTGATGGCAGTGATGATGTGGATGCAATGATGATGATGATGTAGTGGTATCGGTGATGAAGGGTTGGCGATGCTGGTGATGGGGTGATGGTGCTGATGAATAGTTGATTAAAATTATGAGGGGGGGGGAGGTGTGATAGTGGATGTAATGTTAATGTTGTAGATGTGATGACGATGTAGCGTTAGCAATGGTGGTGGTGGCGATGATGATGATGTGAAGATGTTGATGGTGGTGGTGATGGTGTTGATGTAAAAGACGCGCAGCGACTCCTCGTTTCCGGTGCGCGGTTCCACTTCCGCCTTGGCGGTCCCATGACCCCTGACCCCCCCATCCCCCCTCCTTCCCCCCGTCTCTTCCCCCCACCCACCCCCCACACAAAGCCCCGGATGTCAGCACTGACACGCATGCGCGCCCGCACTCTCCGCCCCCTTCCCTCTCTGCACACGGGCGCGAAACCCCGGATGTTGACACATGTGCGCGTGCGCGCACCTCTCGCGACGCTCCCCCGCCCCCCGAGTCACGTGACCCGAAACGAGGCGGGGCGGGGGCGGCGGCAGCGTGGTGAGGTGGGGGGGGGTCTCTTCCGCTCGACAATGGCGACCGCGGGGTAAGCGTGGGGGAGCTAAGGCGGGCGGCGCACGAAGCGAGGTGCACGGTAGCGACATGGAGAGCGGCGCCAAGGTAACAAATAAAAACGCACGCGCGTGGACAGCGTGGGCCGGCGACGCGGCGTCGCTTACGACCTCTCCCCACACACACACACCCGACGGCGGTGAGGGCTCGAGGCGTTGGGGAGGGGGAGGGAGGAGAGGCTCCGGCCGCCGTAGGGTTGCTCGGCGTGACTAGGCCACGCGCAGAGAGGGCGGCTTCGGGCAAGCGCGTTGCCTCCTCTCGTCGAGGGAAGAGGAAGCCGAGGACGAAGCCCCTTCCCCCCCACCTCCCTCGGGGTGGTGATGGAGGTGGTAGGGGGGGGGGTCGCTTGGTTGTTGTTGCGTGGCCGTCTATGAGATGCGCCGCCCGGTCGAGGGGGCTTCTCGCCACGCGCGGTGGTTTGTGCGGTGGGCCGAGTGCGTGGCCAGGGGGAAGTGGTGGTGGTGATGGTGGTGGTGGAAGGGGGGGGCACGCACTCGTGGGGGGGTTGGGAGAGACGAGACGGTGGGGGGGGGTCGATGGGACGAGGCTGCTTGCTGGTGGCGGGAGTGGCGGCCCAACCAGACGGACAAAAACGATACTGTACTGTATATATGTGAAATCGCGTTTCTTTTGAGGCAGATGCAGAGGCGGCATTTGCCTTCCGTTTTGCTGCAAGAGACCACCTCGGGTACACGCATAACGCAACGCAGGTCAACGCGTTTCGCCTTTTTGATTTTTTTGGCCCCACGTTGCTGCTTTGAGGGCCACCCACTGCCAACGCAGAGACAAAAATAAAACCTCTCAATATATTAAAAACGCATTTTTAATTTGTCGAATCGAGACTTTCCCCGTGAACAAATCTGCAGTCGATGCAATCGATGGGGGTGTAAGTAAAGACGACGAAATTGCACTTTAAAAAGAACATTACATTAAATGTGATGTACACGAATTGTCTTAAGGCAGCCGGTTAAACCAACTCACTTTACAAGGGTTTTCGTCAAGAGCCTTTGGCACATATATTTTTCCCCCCTTCTAACTCGGCTGGCTAATGGTCGTGATTGCCTGCAGACGTGGTCTGAGAGGCAAAGTGAATACAGAATCGCGAGGCGGCGTCGACTGTGAAAATGATGCCAGACCAAACCAATTCGCACGGGGTACGATGCAGTGAACGTGCGTACATACAGAGGGGGGGAGCCTTATATATCCAACAGGGTGGTGGGCGCCTTGGCTTGCCACGGTCAGCATGTGGACTATAAGCGACAGAGTTGCGGCGTTCACGACTTTGTATGGCCGTTTTAAGACATTTGGCCCAAATGCTGAATTAGAATATTTATTTATTCTTGAGGAAATCCTACGAGCTATGAAGCTTATTTTATTCGTCACATGTCCAGGAGGGGCATTTCTCACCTCTAATAAATGCAAAGAGAATCAATGAATGGGTAGGGTTGCATCATCGCTAGATAGGAGGACGATGATGACGGCTGATGGACGAGGCCGGTGATGTGGAGTGAGCGGCAGCCACAAGTCGAGAGGGCATCCCATGAGGATGGACCTCCATGACGGTGGAGCAAAGTTTTCCCGGCGTGTGGCAGTGAGATGGTAGCAGCAGAACTGGACCCCGACGGATAGCGACCGCATGGGGGGAGGCCTTCGCCCAGCAGTGGATAGGCGATTACGGATTACACAATCACAGTTGATGGAATTCAGATACACCCGCCGCTGATGTTTAGCCGTGGCCGGGAATCGAACTTGGGTTTTGTCGAATTGATGGTGCGGTGCGTGAACCACTGCTCCACCGCACCACCCACACTATCCTGATTAACCCATTAGTATCAATCCCCTCTTAATTCGCTCCCCCTTCCCGTTTTTGATGAGCCCTGCTCTCTTCGCCAAGGCTGCGACCGAATACCTGTTGAGGTGACTTCGCGGCAAACCTCTCTGCAAGCCCAAAAAATGCTGAGTAACCCATGGGGTTACTCAGCACTTTTGGTTTGAAGTGACTCATCCTGAATTGAGTTGAAGCCCAATATGGGGTTGCGTCACCAGCAGCGGTGGCGGCGAATCGCCTTTTGTCATGCGCAATAAACATGCGTAGCTGCCAACCCATACCGTTTACCCCATATTTTTGCATATGGAAATTGAGTTCTCAGGTCCATACGGCGTACAGCCATTTCAATGCGGGCAAAAACTTTTTTCTCTATTTGTTTGTGTTTCTCCCGTTGTGATGGGACTTTGTAGGATGAACGTTGAGATTTATAAGGGCACGGGGTGATCAATAAGGTCTGAATTGGTCTGTAATAAGGTAGGCACCGATAAGGTGTTGACAGATATGAAGAAGTGACATTGCTAAAAATCTTGCCTGCCGCGTTTGCTCTTCTCAGGCGGTTTCATTATTGTTGTTGATTGCTCCAGCCGAGGAAAGAGCTCTTTACGTGGGTGGGGAGAGGAGTCTGTTGAGATGCCGGGCCCTTGCACCAAAACAGACACCGGCTTAACCAAAATATTTTATTATAACAATTTACTACGCACGGTGCAAACACCGTGACTAGTAAATTGGAACGGAAAGAGAGATGGCGCAGGACAAGGCAGCGTGGAGAAGGTTGGCAAGGACAGCGGACCCCGCATGAGTTGGACAAACACGTGGAAGAAGACGAAGAGGTGTTTACACCGTTCTCATAGCGAAAGGCTAGAACGAAGACGTGTTTTACAAACGAGTCTGCCACTAAGAGGAAATGCTGCCGCGTGTGGCCTTTACGCATTAGAAGTAATTTTGGCTGGTTATTTTTTCGTTGTAAAAATGCTTGACCGTGACGCCAGCTCACCCGGCCTCCTCTTATTCAAATAACGCAGTGGTTGAGACTAACGACACTCGAGAGGACGACGTCCACCGTGGACACAGGAGCACGTGCTCAGGAGCCAGGTGGATTGTTTCTCTGAAGGAACAATAACAGATGACGGTGGCTTGCGGAGGCCTTGACCCAGCGGTCCCCACAACCCCCCCCCCCCCCCCAATGCCTTGTTCTATGACGGTGATGAATTGTAACACTCTTTACGCATGAGCTCCGTCAGTCCATCCATAAAGGAGCAGGGGGGGAGCCCACTTCAACTCCAATGTGAAGAAGACTATAGGATAACGTTGTGTTGCTGTTACGCACTCGCCCTGTTAACAACTGGCTCCTAAAACGTCGAGACAATCCAGAGTGAAGAGGGCCTATTTGCAAATAACCCCACAGCGTTTTTCCCAGACCGCTACCCAATTGCTTATGTACTGCTAATTGAATCCTTGCAAGGGCAAACTTACATTTATTGTTTGACTGTGAAGCCGATGTGTAAATTGGTATCTTTTTTCTCCCTCAGTATATTTTCGGGGAGTTCAGCCATGAAGAGGTGCAACAATACTTCCAGAACTCGCACATTTCCGTGGAGGTGAGTACCCCAGAGGTCCCCCACTACCTTCTCAAGTGCGGTCCGTGTGTGTGTGTACAATGACACACGCACACAGTCGTTCGTTTAAGCCACACGTCTCCGGCATTTCAACAGAGAATTGGAGATAAAGTGCTGCTGCTGCTGCCGCCGAACGCCGCTGTTTGCACTTTGCACACAAGACGTGTGAGACACCCAAGTGCTAGTCTATACAATGCAACGTGGATTTACATAGCATCGACTCGTGACTACATACGGTGGTTGTAGGTATTGAGAGGGAGCGAGAGAGAGAGAGAGAGGCAGTCGTAGGCAGAGGCAAAAAGGACGATCTTGAGCCCTGACCATTGGACAGTTCGTCGTCAGCACGAGATTGCTGAGGGAAGGCAGTGCCAAACAAACGGGGGCAGTGGAAGTGAATTGAGAACTAATGCAGCGCTTATCTCCCATTTACAGCCCTGCACCAGGTGGAAATGCCACTAATCTTGGGCAGAGCGGAGTCTATTCATAGGGCAATCACTGTTGACCTCAACCACAAAGTGACACTAATTTTACGAGATGAGCCGGTGTGAATAAAAAGGGGTGTTGGACTCCCAGCAATGGTGGGCCGTGGTTCTCTCAGTTATTGACATTGTTTTGTCCCTGCTGTGATGGGGTATTTTTTTCTCTCATAATCTGCAGAAATTGTTGACTTTTTTTTATTCTCGCACCGCTTGCAAATGAAATGCCGATTTTAACAGTTTCCTCTAATTTTTTTTTGTGTTTGGGGCAGCTTCCTCCATGCTCGGAAGACACGGACGATGATGATGCGACAGGCCGTACCGGTAAGACAAAGAAGATCGTGTCGCGTTGGTTTATTTTTGCCGTTGACGTGGTGTACGGATGACTGACGGCGCCAATCGTACGTTTGAGGGATGCCCTGGAATACCTTTAGCCGACAAAAGTTCGTCGTCCAGCTAGTCGGGTTTCGTTGAGCGCGCTAGCTTTTGATTAAGTGGATGAACAAAGTAATATTTACACACGTGATTCAATGAGCTTCATCGTCAGCGAACACCCATGTATCCGCAAATTACAAAGCAACATCGCTCCCTACTGCAACGTCCGACAAGTACGGTTGGCTACGTCCGGTGCGAAGGAAGTTCAACGTGTATACAAAACTACTGCAGACAAATAGCTGTCTGAAACGTGTAGCACCTTATGGTGATGGTGTTGCGCCGTAACAAATGGCGCAAATACCAAACGTGCCCGTGGCAAGAGTGAATGTTTATTCGCAGTTGCGCATCTGCCAAGTGACAATTGGCAATTGGGTGAATTGTTACGTGCCTTAATTGTGACGATAAAACAAGCGCGTAAAGAAGCGTGGAGATGCGCCCGCTTGGAGTGACGTTGAGGCGCGGAAAGAGTGACTCGTGGCTTTGGGTGAAGGCCAAGTGAATGACGTTCAGACTTGTTAAGAAAAGTAACGAAGTAAATAAGTGGATAAATGCACCTTTATATGTCTGTCCCGTAAAATAATTAAGTGTGTATTTTTTTTGAACCTCTCATCAGCCACACGGCCTTCCGGAAGTGCATTATTTCAAGAGCGCGTTGCTAGAAGGGATGATCGTGGGTGGTGGAGGCGAGCGACAGTGGTAGTCGAACTAAAACTAAACTAACAAAACAATTTTTTTTATTTTTCCAAGTAAGGCCCACTGAGCTATATATTTTTTTTCATAAGCGACCTGGCCACAATAGATAGCTCAATGAAGCGGCTCATCACGTGGAAATGTATAGCAGCCAAATACTCTAAATGCATGTTTCTAACGTGGAGGGAATAACCGGAGGACCCGGAGAAAAATCCACTTGACCATGGGGAGAACACGCAGACTCCATATATACAGGCTTCAGGGTCTGGATCGAACCCACAACATGCTGAAAACCAGGCGAGGTAGTTAGCATCTCCCCTCTGTAGCTAGAAGATACCCAGCACAGAGACGGAGCCATCAAATCCGCTCGTTCTCAGGAGTTGTTGTGGATTGTTAATTTTATCACGAGATCACGAGAGGTGGCGACGGCTCCGGGGGGGGGGGTAGACCTTCGTCCAGTCGTGGATAGAGCAAAATCCACGCGACCACGACGATGAATTGTGACACCGCCTTAACCTGGCTTCTGCCGTGTCCTCACAGGGGGGGGCGACTGTTCCGAGCCGGCCAGGGGGCTCGCGAGCAGCAACGGTGGGGACAACTCGGTCGAGGGCTCCCCTCCTGACGAAGTGGGGGGGCCCAGCACGCTCAACCCACGAGCCCCCGAGTTCTGCCTGCCGCTCGAGCAGCCCGCCACCTCCTTCCCTCGCCAGCCGGCCCCGCCACCGTTCCCGCCGGCGCCGATGGTCGGTTGCCGAACCACCGCTGCGGCCGCCGTCATCGCCGCTCCTCTGGTGGGAGACCCGGCGCCGCTGCCGCCCAACAGCTCCGTCCACACGGCAGCGCTGTCGATGGGCCCGGCTGCCCCGCTGACGTTCGGCCACCCGGTGCCAACCGCCGCCCTGCAGCTGCCCCTGTTCGTGCCGCCCCAGTCGGCCCTCGCCGGCGCGGAAGCGGCGCCGGTCGTGGTGCCGCGGCCGCTGGTGCCGGTCCATGCCCTGCCCGTGGGGCTGGCGCCGACGGCCTCCGCCACCGCGTTTTTTGGCAGCGCCCACACGGCGCCCGTCGTGCTGCTGCAGCCGCTGCCGGCGTTCAACAACGGCGACGAGATGAGCGCCGCCGAAGGTGCGATGGCCGCGCGCACGCACACACGCACGTATGTGCAAGCCCGCTTGCTGGCGCGTACATGAGCGAAGGCGCCACCGGTACCTGACCGTCATGGCATCATGAAACCTCTCTCTCTCTCTCTCTTCCTTCTCTCTCCATAACGGCTCAGCCGCCGCGGACGGGAACGGCGATGGTTCCAGTCGCAGCTCGGGCGGCCCGCGGGAGCGGCGGAACAAGAAGAAGCGGCCCCCCGGCTACTACGGTTACCAGGATGGTGAGGGGCACGCGACGCCACACGCGACGCCACGCACCGGTACCCACAGTTGTGCGCTCGCATCAACGCGTGTGGCGGTACACAACGATCGGGCGCGAAGGGGACACCACGTCGATGCACTCCCACCATGCCCGGCCGCCTTTTTCTCCCGAGTGGCGATGTTTATGCACCTCACCAGGTACTCATTTGAGGCTAAGCTGACCTAGGGGAGGCACAGGACCGGTTCAGATAATCGTTACTGGTGTTGGCCGTGAGCGAATCGAACTCGGGCCGCTGGGCTTACCAGAGCAGCACGCTCTCTGGCCCGCGCTCCATTCACACGCGCTCTCCACCCACAGGCACCGGCGCGGTGAACGGGATGTCGTGTGCCGACGACGGCGACGAGGCCTCTCCGGACGCCCCCTTCGCACCGCCTCCGCCACAGGGGGCGGCGCCCCCCCACCAGGGCCGGCTCCCCTCGCCGGTCCCCCCCATCGCAGGATCCACAGCCGCAGCCCCGGCAACCTCCGGAGGCGTCTGTGCCGGCGCCCCGTCCCGCCGAGCCCGCCGAGCAGCCGGCGCCGCCCTGCAAGCAGCCCGCGCCCGTGCTGGCGGTGCCGCCGGCCGCCGTGCCCCCGCCGGTGCCGTCCGCCCCACCGGCCCCGCCGCAGAGCGCCGCTCAGCCGACCGAATTGCCGGGCATCGGCGGTCCGCAGGGCCAGCAGCCGCCGGTGATGATGATGATGCTGATGAACGGCCCCCAGGGGCTGCCCGTTGAGGCGCTGTTGGTGAACCAGCTGGGCATGCCGGCTGTTCCGGGGGTGCCGGTTGTGGCCTCGACGGCGCCCATGACAGTGCCCCTGCTGGTGCTCCCCCAGCGCATGCCGCCGGTCGTGATGTCCGTCGCGCCGCAGGCGGCTGTGCAGCTGGTGGCGCCGGTGCTCCAGGCGCCTGCCGCACAGCCGCCGCAACCGACGGTGTGCCCGCAGCAGAAGCCGCAGCAGCCGCAACCAAAGCAACAGCCGCAGCCAACGCAGCAGTCGCAGCAGGTGGGGAACAGCACCACCGGCAGCAGCAGCAGCAGCAGCTTGATCATGCTGGCCACACGAGGTGCTCACCAGCTCCCCGTCAGCGCCATCCGCACCGGCGGCAGCTTCAAGTTCGGCGGCGACACCAACTTTGCGGACGTGAGCGGGCGCCAGCGAGAGAGCCCGCCCGTCGTGTTCACCAACGCGTGCACCGTGCCCAGGGCGGCGCTGCTACGGGACGGCGCCGCGGTGGCGCCGATGGCGCCGCCCGTCGGGGACCTGCGCTCGTCCTCGGCGCCCGGCGACGCCGCCAAGCAACCCAGGCCGATGGCCACCATCGCCCCGATCTCTTTCGGCCCCGCCATGCCAGCGCTGTCCGAGGTCGTGACGCTGCCTCCGGCTGTCGCCGATCGCCAGCGGCGCGCGAGCGCCGTTACCGGCAGCGCGTCGGCACCGGCTCGGTCACGCGAGGAGCAGGTGGCCCCGGTGGCCCCGGTGGCCCCGGTGGCGGCGGTGGCGCCCACCGCCCCGCGCTGCGGCGAAGCCCGGAAAGGTTCCGCGCAGCTGAACGGCGTGGAGACGGCACCGGCGAGGCCCGGCGTGAACACGAACGCGGCGGTGGCGCCGGCCGGCAGCGCCGCCGCTACCGCCGGGCGAGGCGGTCGCCCGGCGACGTCGATGCCGGCCGCGGCCTTTCTGGACCCACGGCCGCAAACGCCGACCCTTGCTCACGGTTCGTCCTGCCCCATCGAGGCATCTGCCGTAGGGAGGGATGCTCCAGCGGCCGTTGCTCCAGCGAAAGATGCTCAAGCTGGCGCGGTGGGGAGAGAAGCGCCTGCTATTCCTGCAGGGAGACCGGCGCCAGCAGCAGCCGTTACTGCTGCGGGGAGAGAGCCATCAGCTGGTGCTGAAAGCAGAGAGGCACCGGCTGTTGCTGCTGCTGCTGTCGCGGGGAAATCTGCTGCTGCAGGCGACGCAGCTGCTCACGACGCCAGGCCACAGCCGCCGGCACTCCCCGGCGTCAAGACCTGGGCCAGCCTCTTCAGTGCCAGCAAGCCCGCCGCGCCGTCACCGGGGGCCGGCACCACTGTTCGCGTCGACCTGCCCGCCGGGGACTGCAAGGCGGGGGGGGAAAGGAGCCCGGGGTCGCAGGAGGCGCCGGTTCCGCAGACAGCGCCGGCGCACAAAGCTGGGCCCGTGTCGGTGGCCGAGGACCCCTGTGCCACCAGGATAGCCGGTGAGGCTCCTTGCCGCTGCAGATTGTGGGGGTGGGGGGGGGGGACCCCCCCTTGTGATCCAGAGGTCACTGGTTCTATTGTGGATTTTTCTACGGGTCCTCCGTTTTTTTTTTCCCCCTCCACATTTAGAATCAACGTGAATTGAGAGTATTTATTTGGCTGCTATAAATTGCCAAAACGTGATAAGCTACTTCGTTGAGTTATCATATGTGGCCAGGTCGCTTCTGAAAAGTAAAAATAGTTTAGTTTTGATATTGCAGCGCCGCAGTTGGTATGATGGTGCAAATTTCATGAATGCCTCCCCCGCCACTGTCCCTCCGCTCCCGGCTCAGATGTGCCCGTGGAAAAGGTGTACAGGGCTTTCCGGAGAATCTTGTGGGTGGTTGCGTGTGTGTGTGTGTGTGCGCACATAGCACTCGCGTCTGTCCCATGACCTGCTGCCAGTGAGTTTTCGACACTTCACGTGGCCTCAAAGTGCACAGAGCCTGGCACAAGCGCCGTACGTCACCGCCACATAGTGGCGAATGGCAGTTGTCGTTGTTGCATACACGCTCACTAACAGCACTTTTGCCACGACAATCTGTTTTTGTTGAAGGCTACACGGGGCATCTTTGTTTTTTGTGTATTTGTGTGCGCGTGTGTGTTCAGAGCTCCTGTCATTGACGCCGTTGTCCTACAAGCCGGTCTCCGTGCAACCACGCGGGCTGATCAACCGGGGCAACTGGTGCTACATCAACTCCGTATCCTTGGCAACGCCAAACCCAGCCACAACAGCAGACAAACATAGACTGGACAGGGATACGGACAGCCGCACATGAAGGCTGGCACGGCACCTCCCCCGTGTACCCGACGCGATGTGAAAACATCGCCACTGGGGAGAGACATTTGCGTGTGTGCATAATATACAATGGTACAGATACAATGGGAGGCTGATCGATGCCCGGGTGCGGTCAAGGGATGGCTCCCTATTGGTCAACCACGTTATGTATGCCGATGATCTGGTAATTTCCGCTCACTCAGAGGAGGAGTTGGAGGCGCTGCTGCTGAGACTGGAGCGTGCCACTAAGAGGTGGGGCCTTACCATCAGCCCAACCAAAACGAAGCTCCTGCCTGGGTATTTTGTACCATCGGGCAACCCACCCACACAACTCCCAATCGGTGATGGGGCAGTTGTGGAGAGTGGGCAGTGTGCTTATGACCGGCTCCAGTTTAACAGCAGAGGTCTCCGAATCAGTCGAGCGGCAATATCTTTTCATCAGTTGCGTAACGCTGTGTGGAAGCTACCTGGTCTGTCGCTCCGCACTAAGCTTCAGGTCTTCTCGGCCACGGTCATTCCATCCCTTCTCTACGCTTGCGAAACGTGGACCCCCCTTAATGGAACATCTTCGCAGATTGGAAACATTTAGACTGGCCTCCCTAAGATCCATCCTGGGTTTAACCAGGCCGGATTGTGTGAGGAGCTCACAAATCCTCGAAAGATCTGGGCAAAGTCCCATCGGTGAGCTCCTCCGGCAGGCAAGGCTGCGTTGGCTGGGTCATGTAGCCCACATGCCCAGTCACCGCATGCCTAAACAGCTTTTGTTCGGCCGGATAGAGGGGGCTAAACGAGCGCGGCACGGGCTAGAGAACAGACTGAGTGACGTGGTACAGGAGGATGTGGAGCTGGGTGGACTAGGCGATGACTGGTACCAGCGGTGTCAAGATCGGCCTCTGTGGAGGAGGCTCGTGAAGGACGCTGCTGGGCAGTTGGAGGCAGTCTCCCTCCATCAACAACGGAGGGCACAGGAGCGACGCTCACAACGAGTGGAGCTCCGAGTGGCTTAAGCACAGCAAGTTGGAACAGTAGGGGGCACAGGTGGTGCATCAGCCAGTCATCTCAGTCATCTCAGTCAGTTGACTCGTGGCACCTGCTGGGTCTGCCCTGTGACCTGCCAGCGGGCGTTCGACATTTCACGTGGCCTCAAGGTGCGCATAGCCTGGCACAAGCGTCGTGGTGACGTCACCGCCACCTAGTGGCGAATGGCGGTTGTTGCTTGCGTGTGCATTAGTGTGTGTAGGGAGCGGTATTGTAACGGTTAGCGCGCTGCGCTACGAACCCGGCGACCCGAGGTCAATTCCCTCTCACGGTTACCACAAGTGACGATTATTTTACCCGTTAACAAGCCTGCCCTAGGTCGACTCAACCTAAATTGAGCAATTCTAGATTTGAAGCTTTCGTGACTGCAAGGATCCATGCTCTCTGGTTCTTTTGGGTAAAGTCACGTAGGTAAAAAAATAAAATAACAAAAAATCACGACGTTTCGGCCACGACACAAGCGGCCTTCATCAGGTGAAGGGACGAGACTGTCTGGAGGACAGCGCTGCAGTGAAAAAAGCCACGCTCAGCTCACGACCTTTTAAGCTGTGTGAGAAGAAACAATTGCGTACCTGGTGCGGGGGTGTGAGCATCACCACTGGGGAGACAAAGGTGGCCGGGCGTAGTGCTGGGATTCTTCTTTGTCTTTGGTTGTGGCCTTAACCGCGCGCGCGCAGACCCTTCAGGTGCTTGTTGCTTGCGTGCCGCTCTACCACCTGCTGCGCGCGCTGCCCCTGTATGGCGACGGCGAGCGCCCCGTCAGCGCCACGCCCATGCTCGACGCGTTGTGAGTGTGCGCAGAGAAGCGTGGGGGGTGGGACGCGGAGGGGGGGGCGGTTGTGGGGGGGGGGGCGGGTGCGAGTGGGATCTGGGAAGGTCAGCGAGCCGCGCGGTGGAACCTGGCGACAACCGGGTTCCATTCCCGCTCACGGCCAACATCGGCGACTAATATACGAACCGGTCGTGGGGCTTCCCCAGGTCGACTCGGCCCCCCGATGCGAGTACCTGGTGTGTGTGAAAAAAAAAAAAAACCCCCAAGCACTGGGGCATAATGTTGGCCACCCACCCCCCTAGCGTGTCATGCCGGCCTTCATAGAGGTTCGCTCATAGCACTTGAAAGTGCTAACGGTTGTCAGGGGGGAATCTTCGTCTCTGCGGTGGTGAGAGGGGAATGGGGGTGGGGTGCCACGTAACCACATCTTGCCATGGGTAACAAACATGCGGGTACACATGCACGTTTGCGAGTGTGGGGAGCGGTGGCGCAGCGGTCAGCGTGCTGCGCGACGAACCCGGCGACCCGAGGAGTTCGATTCCCACTCACGGCCAAACGCCACAGTGACGGTTATTCTGAGCCAGTCTTGGGCCTCCCCTAGGTAGACTCAGCCTCAAAATTAGTACCTGGTGCGGTGTGTAAACATCGCTACTGGGGAGACAAAGGCGGTGCTGGCCACCCATGCCCTCGTGTACCCTGCAGGCTTTCATAGGTGCTCGCTAACAGCACTTGCCCCAACAGTATGTTAAGGCTATACGGTGGAGGATCTTTGTATGCGGGGAGTGATAGCGAAGTAGACTGAGAATTCCCCACGCGCACGCACGCACGCACACGTGTGTGTGTGTGTGCACGTGTGTGTGCGCGTGTGTGTGCGCGTGTGTGTGCACGTGTGTGTGTGCACGTGTGTGTGTGTGTGCTTGCGCGAATGTAACGGCTCGTGTGTGTGTGTGTGCGCGCGTGTGTTTCCAGTATCCGGCTCATGAAGGAGTACGGATCTATGCTGCCACCATCCAAACCCAAGACCGGTGAGTGGCGTGGCGTCAAACATCACCAGCGGGTGGCGCCACCGACACAATCTGCGTGGCGCCACGCCACACGCGGTGGCGTGGCGCGCTGCTAGCTTCGTGCGCCTGGCATTCGCGCCATTCTTCGAGTGCGAGGCTCGCACGGAGGCGCTGTGTTTCACAGATGGGTATCGTTTGCCTGTTGGGGGATTTGTTCAGAGTCGGAATCTTTATTTGTCCCGGACAAATCCGGTGAGCTGTGAAGCTGTTTTGCACGGATGTCGAGTCGAGCAACGTGGCCGTGCCCGGTTGCTCACGCCCACTCGGTTGCACTCGGGTTGTCAGTCGATGACCACGTTTTTGACGGATCGTTTACAGAATCGATTCTTCTTTGGCGCCCTCTACAGCCCGTTGAAGGGTATTCCCCACAACGACCCTCATGATTCTTCCTTCCTAATTTGACTCTTGGGTCAGATCGCCGCCCTCCTCCACCCAAGCGTTAACGAACAGATCGCCGACACTTCACCCCTTTCACATTTCCGAGATGTCTCTTAAGTTGCAGGGTGGCGTCCCGCTCGCCGCTGAATCTCGGAGAGCGCCATCGGCTCGGCGTTAATTTTACTTGGGAGAGGCGTAGCGCCGCGGAGAACTACGGCCGACACGACCGCACCCTGCGATAGCCGATGCCAAACTCGCCCACACGGCCTCCCGCACGGCGTTGTGTGAACGTCTATAAATATTTTACCCCGATGACGTACGCGTGCACGTGCGTCATCGGAAGGGCAAAGCGTCAACAGCCGCAGCTGCCAGTTGTGATTCGCCGACTCGCCACTCTGAGCTCCCCTCCCTTCTTCAGCTGGACCCCCGGAGAAGAGCAAAGACCTTCGCGTGGGGTCGCCCTTCGAGCCGGCCTTCATCTACAAGCTGCTGTCAATCGTCAAGTCCAGCTTGTGCGACAAGGTGTGACGCGTGCGTGTGACGTCTGCGATGCGTGCGTGCACGTCCAGGCGCTTGCGTTTTGTGCGTGCGCGTGTTTTGCGTGTGCGCTTTAGCCTGGTGCCGATGGCTCGCTCATCAGGTGCTGATGAGCGCGTGACCTGTACCCCGTCCCCCACAGGGCCGGCAGGAGGATGCGGAGGAGTTTCTGGGCTTTGTGATTAACGGGCTGCACGACGAGATGCTGTCGCTGCGCCGGCTGGACAGCGCCGACGGTGAGCATCAGACGCGCCGGGGTCACACGGACACGCGGATGCGCAGATGTGCTCGGGACACCAGGATACACCAGGACAAATGGACACTGACACCGGGTTGCACTGACACTTGGACAAACACACAGCTAGATACGAGGACACGTAGACACACATACGCACGGTCATCAAAACTGCTAGGCAGCGAATTAACAGCAAAAACAGTCCCAGACCACACCTAGACAACAACACACAGTCCCTCAATACAATCGACGTACACAGGGAGTCGTACACACACACACAGACACCGGGGCACCTCCTCTTGACAAGCTGACATGCGGCGCTTCACCTTCCTCTGCTAGGAGCTGCGACAAATGGCGTGGCCTCCGATGGGGCCAGCTCTGACGGCTGGCCCGAGGGGGATGCGGAGGCCGGGTCCGGTGGGCCCCGTGGTGCCCATGGTAATGGCAGAGGGTTGCAGCTGGAGGACAGCGATGGTCATGGCCAGCGTGCCAACAACGAGAAGGGTGGCGAGGAGGAGGAGGAGGAAGAGGAGTGGGAGCAGGTTGGGCCGCGGAACCGCTCGGCCATCACGCGCTCCGCCGAGTTCGTGCGCTCGCCCATCACCGACATCTTCGGTGGATGCATCAGGTGGGTCCCTCGCCCTTCCCTCCACCTCACCACCACCACCACCTCTCAGCCGAGCTCCTCTTTCCCGTCCGACTGCGCTGGGTCGTTGTGCCGGCCCGTGCGTGTCACGTGACGTTGGGGCGGTTTTCTGGGTAAACGCGACGACCGCTTTCCGCGGTGCCGCGATGTCAGCCTTGCGTGCATGCCTCGGTGTGTGTGTGTGTGTGCGTGCGAGTGTGTGTGTGTGTTTTGCGTAATGTTGTTCACACAACCGTGCTATGAACCGGGCGAACAAAGTTCGATTCCCCGCTAACGACCAACAACGTTGTCCGCCAACAGCACTTGAGCCCAACAGTCTATTAAAGGCTACACTGTGGGGGTCTTTGCGTGTGTGCGTGCGTGTGTGCGTGCGTGCGTGCGTGCGCGCAGGTCGGCCGTGTACCAGGCGGGGGTGAAGGAGTCGGCGACGCTGCAGCCGTTCTTCACGCTGCCGCTGGACGTGAGCGCGGAGCGCGTGTGGACACTTCGCGACGCGCTCGAGGGGTTGGTGGCACGCGAGGCCGTGCAGGGGTACACCACCAAGAACCGTCAGGAGGTAACCACAGACAAAAACTCTCCCTCCCTTCCCTCCGTGACGTAGCCAGTAACGCACCGTTGGGGGCATGTGCTGTCACAGCGAGCGAACGAGGGGCTCGGTGGCCAACACCGCACCCGGCCGCCTCTGTCTCCCCAGTGGCGATGTTTACTACACACCGCACCAGGTACTCATTTGAAGCTGAGTCGACCTAGGGGAGGCCCAGGACCGGTTCAGAATAATCGTCAGTGGCGTTGGCCGTGAGCGGGCAATGGAACTCGGGCCGCTTGGTCGGTTGCGCGCGGTCTGTTCACCGAGCGGAGGTTCACCCTGGCGTCCGTGTGCGATCTTGACGGCGCACCCCACCCACCCCACCCCCCCCACCCACCCACCGCTGCCTCCTTTCCACCGCCCGGCGCACTTGACTTGCGTTCCGCGGCGTCGGAGGCTGCGTGGCTGAGCGGCCGTGTTTACTGAAGCTCGCGTGTGAACCGAGCCGCGCCAAGTGTGGGCCCCCCAAGCGAGGGGCCCTGGCGAGGTTCCCTCTCGGCGGTGTTGTCGGCACGCGCTCGGTGTGGAGAATGCCGCTGCCGTGGCTCGGGCGGGGAGGGCCCATCACGGCCGAGAGGCCGGGCCGGGGCCCCTCGTGTCCCTGTTAAAGGGTGTCGAGATGTTAACCACCTCGCCTGGTATGTAGGAGGTCGTGGGTTCGATCCCTACGCTGACGCCTGCTGCTGTATATTTGAAGTTTGCTTGTTTCCCCGTGGTCGTGTGGATTTTTCTCCGGGTTCCTCCGGTTTTTCCCTCCACATTTAGAATCATTGTCACTCGTCTAGACTATTTGGCTGCTAAACAATTCCACGTGATTGATAAGCCGCTTCATTCAGCTCTCATTTGTGGCCGGGTCGCTTCTGAAAAAAAGCTACATAGCTCAGTGAGCCTTGCCTGGTAAAACAAAAAATAGTTGAAAAAGTTTTTTAAAAAACCCCTGACCCCGGCGGAATGGAGACCCACCCCCCTTCCCTTCCTCCCTACCCACCCCAGTTCTGCCCTTGCCCTCACCGCCTGCGCTGTCTCTCACCACGTACACCTGTGCTGCCTTCCCTGTGCTGTGGGCCACTCTGTGCTTGCGTGCGATGGACTGGTGTGTGCGTGCGTGCGTGTTTTGGTGTGTGTGTCAATGCAAAGCATCTGGGCCTCTCCCGTGACATGCCTGTGAGCCTTAAGCCCTTCACATGGCCCCAGAGTGAACTTAGCCTGGGACAATCGCCATGATGATTTTGTGTGTTTTCGCGGGCGTCTTATGGCCTGGTGTAGTGTATAAACATTGCCACTCGGGAGGCAAAGGCGGCCGGGCGTGGTGTTGGCCACCCAACCCTTCATGCGTCGTGCTGACTTTCATATCGGCACTTGCCCCAACAGTCTGTTAAGGTCTACGCTGGGTGATCGTTAGCTCATGAGTACGCAGCGTCCCACTGCGTGCCGCGCGTTTTCCCACGCACGTGCGCCGTGCCTGTGTGCGCGTGTGCGCAGGTGGAGGTGTGTCGTCGCATCACGCTGGAGGAGCTGCCGCCGGTCCTCGTGCTGCATCTCAAGCGCTTTGTCTACGACAAAACCGGCGGCTCACAAAAGCTGCTTAAGGCCATCGACTACCCCCTAGAGCTGGAGATCAGCAAGGGTGAGGCAGACAGACTGTCACTCAGCCAGGCAGACAGACTGTCACTCAGCCAGGCAGACAGACTGTCACTCGGCCAGGCAGACAGACTCTCACTCACTCAGCCAGGCAGACTGTCACTCAGCAATGCAGACAGACTGTCACTCAGCCAGGCAGACAGACTCTGACTCAGCCAGGCAGACAGACTGTCACTCAGCCAGGCAGACAGACTGTCACTCAGCCAGGCGGACAGACTCTCACTCAGCCAGGCAGACAGACTCTCACTCAGCCAGGCAGACAGACTCTCACTCAGCCAGGCAGACAGACTCTCACTCAGCCAGGCAGACAGACTCTCACTCAGCCAGGCAGACAGACTGTCACTCAGCCAGGCAGACAGACTGTCACTCAGCCAGGCAGACAGACTCTCACTCAGCCAGGCAGACAGACTCTCACTCAGCCAGGCAGTTAGACTCTCACTCAGTCAGGCAGACAGACTGTCACTCAGCCAGGCAGACAGACTATCACTCAGCCAGGCAGACAGACTCTCACTCAGCCAGGCAGACAGACTCTCACTCAGCCAGGCAGACAGACTGTCACTCAGCCAGGCAGACAGACTGTCACTCAGCCAGGCAGACAGACTCTCACTCAGTCAGGCAGACAGACTGTCACTCAGCCAGGCAGACAGACTCTCACTCACTCAGCCAGGCAGACACTCTCACTCAGCCAGGCAGACAGACTGTCACTCAGCCAGGCAGACAGACTCTCACTCAGCCAGGCAGACAGACTCTCACTCAGCCAGGCAGTTAGACTGTCACTCAGCCATGCAGACAGACTCTCACTCACTCAGCCAGGCAGACAGACTGTCACTCAGCCAGGCAGTTAGACTCTCACTCAGCCAGGCAGACAGACTCTCACTCAGCCAGGCAGACAGACTCTCACTCAGCCAGGCAGACAGACTCTCACTCAGCCAGGCAGACAGACTCTCACTCAGCCAGGCAGACAGACTCTCACTCAGCCAGGCAGACAGACTGTCACTCAGCCAGGCAGACAGACTGTCACTCAGCCAGGCAGACAGACTCTCACTCAGTCAGGCAGACAGACTGTCACTCAGCCAGGCAGACAGACTCTCACTCAGCCAGGCAGACAGACTCTCACTCAGCCAGGCAGACAGACTCTCACTCAGCCAGGCAGACAGACTGTCACTCAGCCAGGCAGACAGACTCTCACTCAGCCAGGCAGACAGACTCACTCAGCCAGGCAGTTAGACTGTCACTCAGCCATGCAGACAGACTCTCACTCACTCAGCCAGGCAGACAAACTGTCACTCAGCCAGGCAGTTAGACTCTCACTCAGTCAGGCAGACAGACTGTCACTCAGCCAGGCAGACAGACTCTCACTCAGCCAGGCAGACAGACTATCACTCAGCCAGGCAGACAGACTCTCACTCAGCCAGGCAGACAGACTCTCACTCAGCCAGGCAGACAGACTGTCACTCAGCCAGGCAGACAGACTGTCACTCAGCCAGGCAGACAGACTGTCACTCAGCCAGGCAGACAGACTGTCACTCAGCCAGGCAGACAGACTGTCACTCAGCCAGGCAGACAGACTCTCACTCAGCCAGGCAGACAGACTCTCACTCAGCCAGGCAGACAGACTCTCACTCAGCCAGGCAGTTAGACTGTCACTCAGCCATGCAGACAGACTCTCACTCACTCAGCCAGGCAGACAGACTGTCACTCAGCCAGGCAGTTAGACTCTCACTCAGTCAGGCAGACAGACTGTCACTCAGCCAGGCAGACAGACTATCACTCAGCCAGGCAGACACAGACGGGGTACAGACACCCGGTCAGATGGGTGCACGCTTACGCGTTGTTATGCGTGCAGCCACCCAGGTCGAGGCTCATTTCCAGAGGTGAGAAGGCTTTGCTACTAAGACGATCAGAGTCATTGGAGCTATTTGAGTGCCGTCTTGAAAACTCGCCTCTTTAACCTGGCCATTAAGCCCCTCCTAGTTCTGGCCATTCTGTTTATTTCCTGGCTTTGCGTACACGTTGGCGCATTGGATCTGCTGGCGAAATGCCCCTCACAAATGTAAAGTATTGTTATTGTTGATGTGTGCCACGCTGATTGTTCCGCTGCTGGTGTCTGTGTGATGCCTCTCAGACCTGCTCTCCCCAATTGCCAAGGTGAAGCTTTCCAAGGGCCAGAGGAGCTACCGTCTGTTTGCCGGTGAGCGTTGGCTGTCCACCTCGTCTGGCTGTCTGTGAATATGGCCGTCTGTGAGCGTGGTTGTCTGTTAGTGTATCCGTATCTGTGAGTGTGGCTGTATCTGAGGCTTGCTCTATTTGTGAGTGTCCATATCTGTGAGTGGCTGTATCTGAGGCTTGCTGTATCTGAGGCTTGCTGTATCTGAGGTTTGCTGCATCTGTGAGTGTGTCCATATCTGTGGCTGTATCTGCGAGTCTGGGTGTCTGCGAGTGTCGTGCAGACGCGTCGATTCGTTGCGTTACGTCGACGGCTCACGTCGCGTTGATGCATCGCGTCGTTATGTCGACGGCTCACGTCGTGTTGATGCATCGCTACGTTATGTCGACGGCTCACGTTGTGTTGACGCGTTGACGCATTGTTGTGCTGACGCGCCACGTTGTGTTGACGAGGCGCGTTGTGTTGACGCATCACTGCGTTGTGACTAACGCGCCGCTTTGTTGCGCTGACGCTGCGGCGTCGCCCCCGCGCAGTGACGTGTCACCACGGCGGCACGGCGGCGGGCGGCCACTACACTACGGACGTGCAGCACGCCGGCCTGGGCCTGTGGCTGCACTACGACGACCAGGGCGTGCGCCCCACCGCGCTCTCCGCAGTGCTCAAGCCCGTGCTGCCCCGTACCGCCTACTTGCTCTACTACCGCCGCGCAGACGTGCAGTGAGAGGGGGGGACGAGCCCCGACGTGGTAGCGGGGGGCGCCCGCTGCCACCCCCCCCCCCCCCCCCCCCCCATCCTACCCCACCTACACCGGCGCCAGCTGCCTCCGCGCCCGAAGCCGGACGTTGGTGACGACGGCGGTGGCGGTGACGATGGTGACGATCGCGGGGACAGGAGCGCGCGCGTCGCTTGGACGACGGGCGGACGAGTCCCGAGTCCGCTCGCTCGCCTCCTCCGCTGCCCGCTTCTCCAGCCCTTCCTCCCCACTCGTCGGCAGTCCGCTTGTCAAACAGAAATCTCTGAGCCACGTGACTTCTCACCACCCCCCCCCCCGCGTGCCGGTCGCGGTGCTGCCGGTCGAGGTGCTGCCGGTGTCGAGGCTCGCGGAAGATCGTCGGATGTCGGACGACGTTCCACATAAGGGGGGGGGTGGAGAAGGACTCCCCCATGCTGCCAGAGCTTCGTGGGCGCGCACGCACGCCGCAAGCACGCCTCGCACGCCTCGCCCGCCTCGCCCGCCTAGACCGCCTCGCCTGCCTAGACCGCCTAGACCGCCTCGCCCATCCTCGCCCGCCTCTCCTGTGCGCGAGAGACCTTTCGAATGAATCGTCGGAAAAATAACCTTTGAAAAATAATATTTTCAAAAAAATAACAAGTATCGTGACTTCAAGTCCATTTGTCTCGTACGCCCAATGGAGTTCAGCGGCAGAATGTGGCAAGGTGTCAATCTGGTGCCCCCCCCCCCCCCACCAAAGAGCTCACAGGACACCTGGGGAGCCCCCCCAAGAGCTCACAAGACACTTGAGCTCACAGGACACCTGGGGGCCCCCCCAAGAGCTCACGAGACACTTGAGCTCACAGGACACCTGGGGGCCCCCCCAAGAGCTCACGAGACACTTGAGCTCACAGGACACCTGGGGGGGGGGGCCCATGGAGCTCACAGGACAAGTGGGGGCCCCAGAGAGATCACAAGACCCACCAGGGCCCCCCCCGCAGCCCACGTGATATCAACGGGGTGGTACACACACGTGGTGGTACACATACACACACACGTGGTGGTACACACACACGTGGTGGTACACATACACACAAGGAGTGATACACACACGGGGGTGGTACACACACGTGGTGGTACACACACACGGGGTGGTACACACACAAACACGTGGTGGTACACACACGGGGTGGTACACACACACGTGGTGGTACACACACACGGGGTAGTACACAAACACGTGGTGGTACACACACCTGGTGGTGGTACACACACACACGGGGTGGTACACACGTGGTGGTACACACACGGGGTGGTACACACACACGGGGTGGTACACACACACGTGGTGGTACACACACACGGGGTAGTACACAAACACGTGGTGGTGGTACACACACGTGGTGGTGGTACACACACACACGGGGTGGTCCACACACACACGGGGTGGTAAACACACACGTGGTGGTGGTACACACACGGGGTGGTACACACACGTGGTGGTGGTACACACACACGTGGTAGTACACACACGTGGTGGTGGTACACACACGTGGTAGTACACACACGGGGTGGTGGTACACACACACGGGGTGGTACACACACACGGGGTGGTACACACACACGGGGTGGTACACACACACGGGGTGGTACACACACGTCGTGGTGGTACACACACACGTGGTAGTACACACACACGGGGTGGTACACACACGTGGTGGTGGTACACACACACGTGGTAGTACACACACGGGGTGCACCCAACGGGGGCACCCCCCTCGCCTCTATTTTCTCCCGACGTGCACGAATCCGTACGTCGGCCGCGCGGACTCGATCGAGTCTGAGAAGCTGGGGGCGTGGGTGGTGGGTGCCGGGGGGGGCTGCGTTTGGGGGGGAGGAGCCGCATGCCCCCCCCCCCCCCCCTTGGGGAGGTGCTGCCTCTGGGAATCATAACCGGGGGGGCGCTGTCGCAGTCGACACGCGTGGTACGGAGCGATACGCGCGGCACGGGCTCCGGCCGTAGTTTATTGTCGGGGGGGGAGAGGGGGCTGGGGGGGTGTGTTTGCGTGGGGGATTTTGTTGTTGTTGCTTCCCCTCCCCTCCCTCCCTAATTGCGTTCTGCTTGTTTGTGTTCATTTCTTTTAGCTGCGCTTGAGTGCAGTCGGGGCGCAGCGGCGTCCTAGCGTACACACGCGGCGCGCACACTCGCCGCTCACACTCGCCGCTCACACTCGTCGCTCACACGCGCGCACACTCGCGCACACACGCACACAACGGGAGCGTGAGTTGACGACGGGTGACTGATGAGTGAGGGTCGAGCGAGGCGTGCGCAGACGCACGCCTCGCTTCACCTCCCCCCCCCCTCCACCACCTCTGGGATCTCACAATCGTGGGTTCCTTCTTTTCGGTCCGCCAGTGGGGGGCTGGGGGGGGGGGGGTTAACTCCCATCGCGTCGTCACAGGTTGGGGGAGTGGGAACGGGGAGTGGTGTTGATAATTGGCACGCGTTCTTTTGGTTGCGTTGTTGGATTTGCTCACCGAATGAAATACTGTAAGGTGTGGGTTTTATTTTTTAATGACACCTTGAAGGCTTGGCCTGGTTTGTGCGTTGCCCCCCCTCCCCTCCGCCATTGAGTTGCCTAATAAAGCGATCTGCCAGCCCCAGGTGTGGCTCTGACGATGTTGGGTACCGGGGTAGAGGTGGGGGTGTGTGAACAGAGATGGCACGGGTAAGGAGAGCACATGCGGAGGAGAGAGTGTCCAACTAAAAACGTTATCTGTTTAAAATGGCTTTCTCTCGCTTGGGTGATGTTAAAACTATTTTCCACCCTTTCATCGGCACAGCGCCCCGAGAACGACTGCTTAAGGGCGCTTAATGAATTTTTGTTTTACATGGGAAGAGAGAGGCACCGGGTGGCAGAGACGGGAGTGGTCGAGAAGAGGGGACAGGACGTGGAAATGGGGGACAGAACACGATGGAGAGGGAACGGAGATGAGAAGGGGGAGAGTCGAGAGGGCATGGGAAGAGAGCGATGGGGGTGGGTGCAGAGGTGGAGGGTGAGAAAGAGAGAGAGCGAGAGACAACGTGGAAGGCAGAGTAATAAGGCAAAGGAAAAAAGGCACGAGGGGCAGAAGGGAAAGAGGGGGAGACTGGGAGGGACAGCAGAGAGAGAGACTTTTGACTTTTAAACATCTTTTATTGCCGCCAGCAGCTGTTGCTGCATTGGAGGCGATTCCGATACGAAACAAAGTCACCAGCAACACAAATGAAACAAACGATATAAATCCACGCTGTGGTGCTAAATGCACCGCGCACAACACGAAAGAAAAGTCACGTGGTGTGGACCAATCAGTTTCAAGGACAATGCATATATTATCATAGTATGTTTTTTTGTTTGTATTTTGACTGCAGGTATTGTGGTTAATGCAGTAACATGAATCCTTGTTAAAAGGTTTCAGTTTTGTTGCCGGAAAAAAAGGGGAAAAACCCCTATTATTTCACGTGGTGGTGTTCAGCACAGAGAGAGAGAGAGCGGTGGGCAGTGAGAGGGAATGGGGAGGTTGAGTGCACGGGGAGACGCGTCGTCGGTTGGTGCTCGACTGACTTCACGGGGAGAGCGCCCCTGGCCCCACGCGCCCCTGGCCCCACGCGCCCCTGGCCCCACGCGCCCCTGGCCCCACGCGCCCCTGGCCCCACGCGCCCCTGGCCCCACGCGCCCCTGGCCCCACGCGCCCCTGGCCCCACGCGCCCCTGGCCCCACGCGCCCCTGGCCCCACGCGCCCCTGGCCCCACGCGCCCCTGGCCCCACGCGCCCCTGGCCCCACGCGCCCCTGGCCCCACGCGCCCCTGGCCCCACGCGCCCCTGGCCCCACGCGCCCCTGGCCCCACGCGCCCCTGGCCCCACGCGCCCCTGGCCCCACGCGCCCCTGGCCCCACGCGCCCCTGGCCCCACGCGCCCCTGGCCCCACGCGCCCCTGGCCCCACGCGCCCCTGGCCCCACGCGCCCCTGGCCCCACGCGCCCCTGGCCCCACGCGCCCCTGGCCCCACGCGCCCCTGGCCCCACGCGCCCCTGGCCCCACGCGCCCCTGGCCCCACGCGCCCCTGGCCCCACGCGCCCCTGGCCCCACGCGCCCCTGGCCCCACGCGCCCCTGGCCCCACGCGCCCCTGGCCCCACGCGCCCCTGGCCCCACGCGCCCCTGGCCCCACGCGCCCCTGGCCCCACGCGCCCCTGGCCCCACGCGCCCCTGGCCCCACGCGCCCCTGGCCCCACGCGCCCCTGGCCCCACGCGCCCCTGGCCCCACGCGCCCCTGGCCCCACGCGCCCCTGGCCCCACGCGCCCCTGGCCCCACGCGCCCCCGTCCCCACCCTCCCCTGGCCCCACGCGCCCCTGGCCCCACCCTCCCCTGGCCCCACGCGCCCCTGGCCCCACGCGCCCCTGGCCCGTCTCTGCTCATTGTGGCTGACATGATCGCCAAGTGCCGGGACTGAGCGCGGTGCGGTGGTGGTGGTGGTCTGCGTGGAGGACCGTGCTGGATGGGCCCGGGATCTCCGCCCCTGCGGCTTGCGTCCCAACGCACACAGATGGCGCTTTGGTTGGTGTTGGTGGGGGGGCGATTTACGGGGACGGCGCACGCGAAGCAACCAACGGCGGACGGACGCAGCGGCTTGCGTTTGAAGTCCGCGCGGCTGCGGACTGCGGCTCGGTTGTCACTGGTTAGGTTGAGGCGTGGTGGTTGTGGTGGTGGGTGGCGCTTGGTTGTAACTGTGTGTGGCCGCTTGTGGTGGTGGTGGTTGTTGTTGTTACCGCGTGTGTGGGTCTGGAAAAACAACCGCCACCTTCTCCCCCCCCCCCCCCACACTTTGCAGTGGCAGACGGCAACGCTGATGGTGTTGGTGTTGGTCACGAGGAGCGGTTCGATTCCCGCTCACGGCCACCAACGCCGGTGATCTCAACCGGTCCTGCGCCTCCCCCTAGGTCGACTCGGCCTCAAAATGAGTACCCGGTGCGGCGTGAAAACATCACCACTGGGGAGACAAAGGCGGCCGGGCGTGGTGCTGGCCACCCCGCCCCCTGGCGATGCCGCAATGCCGGCCTTCGTAGGTGCCGCTCGCTAACAGCACTTGCCCCACTAGTCTGTTAAGGCTACACGGGGGATCTTTGTCGTCGTTGGTGGTGGTGGTGGGGGAGGATAGGAAAAAAGTCTGACGTTAGTCGGCTTGTGACTCTCGTGCCAAGCTCGCATCCACCCGCGGCTCACGAGCGCTGTGGGTTTAGTGCCAGTGGCTGGAAACCACCACCACCACCTCCATCGTATAATCGGAGACAAAGGCAAAGATCCCCCGTGTAGCCTTAACAGACTGTAGGGTCAAGTGCTGTTAGCGAGCACCTGTGAAGGCCGGCACGGCACACGAGGGGGTGTGTGGCCAGCACCACGCCCGACCGCCTTTGTCTCCCCAGTGGCGATGTTTGCACACCGCACCAGGCACTCATTTTAGGCTGAGTCGACCGAGGGGGCAGGCCCAGGACGGTTCAGATAATCGTCACTGGCTTTGGCCGCGAGCGGGAATGCGAACTCGGGTCCCCGGGCTTGTAGCGCGGCGCGCTCACCGCTACACCACGGCTCCCCCCAGGGACACACAGACACACAAAGCAACGAGCAGCACGGGTGGCTGTATACGGCGTGAAAGAAGTTCACCAACAACAGGACGAGCGTGCGCAGGAGGGCCCCCGGCGTTTTATATTCCCCTTCTAGCAGGATCAAGGTTTTGGGGGAGGTGGCTGGGGGGAGGTGGCTGAAGTAGTTCTTCACTCGGGGTCCCCCAGGTTCAATCGGCAACTGGTTGCTGCTGGTGGCTGGGCCGGGCGAAATTTTGTTTGTCTGGCCGCGGTTTCGTCCGCGGGGGGGGGGGGGGGGGCGGGGAGTGTTTGTTGGACGAGACGGGTTGGGAGCTGCGGTGGTGAGATGTTAA